GTGTTTATTTTTAGAAAAAGTTCTTCATGCGTAAAAGTTTTAGCTGACAGAGACAGTTTAAATTGTTAACAAGATAATTATCTTAAATTTCGACCATTAATTTTAAAAATTCTTGAAACAAATTTTTTCCCTTCTCCATGAAGTTATTAATTATTGTATTTTTCTTTTTTTAAAAAGTTATATCTTATTAAACAGAATCTTATTAAAATAAAAGTGTTTAAGAAAAGAATATTTATTATATATAATAGTTTTCTTAGTAATAGTAGGTAATATAACCGAGAGACGATATATGTTATGTAAAACCTAGGCGAATTATTTCTCCACTTTAAAAGAATTCTCTCCATTTGGGCATGGAATTGAAGAGCAAGCTGGAGAGCCGTCGAGGCAAGTAATCCGATGTCATTTTCGTCGAATAAAAATTATTCACGCTTTCCGTCGCTCGCGAGATTTGCACATTTACATTTTGATGATCTATCAGAGTAAAAAAAAGATTCATTGTCATTCAGCAAGAATTCCAAATCAATAATCTTCTTGTCGCATAGCGAGCCACTAACACAAACTTGAATACACACAAAATAACGAACAATCCCACGAATGAAAATTCATGAAAATATGAATAGTAAGGATGGCCTGAGTGGAAACGAACCGTATGTAACCAGACAATACAGACTGAAAGCAAAATTCGTCGGAAAAGCCATCAGAAATCTGTGAAACGTTCCCAAGGGAGATACCTGTCATGTGCGACAATACATTGTTTCGTTGACGGAAAAATAAAAATAGTGCTGATACTGTAATTGGATCATGGAATCATGTCGAATGCCAAAGATACATATAAGCCCAGGAATTTCTTATCGTAAGATAAGAAGATTGACTACCGATTGCTTTAAACTTTCGACAAATGTAGAATAAATATCCATATTATGAATACTTATAGGTAAACAATTAAGAACATGTTTTGCGTGTTTGCACGTATCAATCTAAGATTGAAAGTACAATATGAATTTGCGTGTTATCTAAATAATCCACCGAGATTGAATCTTAAACAGAGAAACGAGAGAGAGATAGAGAGAGAGAGAGAGAGAGAGAGAGAGAGAGAGAGAGAGAGAGAGAGCGAAGATAAAAAATGATTCAGCACATTTTCCATTCAATTTATAACGCGTAATCTTTGCTATTCTTATCTGACGTCTTAACTGTATGTATACAACACTGTTAGAAATGCTTCCTTTACATGTAAATAAAAAGTTCGTGGTTATGAACGAAATTAAAAGTAATGAATGATTTAACTGAAAACTATGTTACAGTAGTTACTTAAATATAATGAACTAAGTTACAGCAGTTACTTAAATGTAATAAACGTGTACATTAAATTTCATAAAATTTTATGAAAAGTACATTAAATTTCGTAAAATTTCATGAAAAATACATTAAATTTTATGTACATGTACACAAATATACTTTTCAATTATAAATACATTAAATTTAATGTCGTGAAAAAATTCAATTCAACTGTGTAACTCAAGTATATTAAATTTCATAAAATTTTCAACAGTGTACATTAAAAATTAATGAAATTTAAGAACATTATTAACGATGATTATATGCCGAAACACATCACTTCCGTGTAAATATACGGCGCGTGTGCTTGTGATAAATTGATTGTCTTTAGTTTTGTGCGTTCTTGTGGCAGAAAGAGGATGATAGGATAAATGAGGTTAGAAATAACCGGTGCGAAAAGCCGGCAAGAAAAAAATGAGGGCATTAAAGGGAGGCAAGTACTTCATCTCTGAATGGAAAAGTAGAAAGATTGGAGAATTGTTCCAGTATATTTACCCTCTTCGACTTCTTTTTTCTAAGAGCTTTGGAACTCCTCGCTCCAGTATGAGTAAAATAATAAATGAATATCGATTACTGTGACATCAAGATATCATATTACTTAAAGAGGAAACGTTTTTTTTTAAATATTTATATACTTAGACAAATAATAACGCGTTAGAAAAAATCAATCATTTATTTTAAAAAATTCTTTGCCAAATAAGCAATAGGATATAATTATTGTGCATTGATCGTTGTATAGACAAGAGATATTGCTTTCTTTATTTATCTTAAAAATAAACAGGTGCCAATTTGCGCTCAATATATGAAACATGCAGCCAAAAAGAATTGACTTATCGGCGCTGCATATATATATATATATATATATGCATATCGAACGTTTTGGAATGCTAAAGGTTAAAGGCGTGCAATTTTGAAGCGGAGCTGCAAACGTCAATTCGTCCTACTTCCTTTATGCTTGCCGAACGTTGTATAATTAGGATCGGATGGAAAATTGGGGCAAGTGGTGCACTGGAAGCTTCTCGTTTGCATTGGTTAACTACAGTGTCAAGGGCAAGTTGATATGCAAAGCGATTAATGTCGCTTGGAGTAGGAAGGGGAGAAATAGTGTTTGTACACCATGTCGCTCTCTTATATTAGTATTTATATTAGTTTGTTCCACTATATCACAAAAGCGTGCTATTCACCGAAGTCTAGGCACGTACA